GGGTGTTATGAGGGACAGTAAAGTCAACAGTGGGATCCATGTGCTTCTCGGGCTGCAATCGATGATTCTTCAACCTCGAGAAGTTGCAGTAGGTTCACAATTTTTAGTTGGGTTAACCTAACACCATACTATATGTATATGGAAGCTTCGACAGATGAGGTCAAAGCTCTACCAACCCTGGGAGATTGATGTGGGACATGAGTTCTGCGTTTGTGGAAACGTGGAAGGACGCCATCTCAAGGGGAAATGAGCTAAACAAGACCGGTTTTCGATGTGAGTGTGTTTACCGCAATCTTTGGTGTCTTTTTCTCCCCGTTAAGGGCTATATCCGAGAGTTTCGGTAGTGCTCTTGTTATCTCTCTTCTGAGATGGTGATTATCTTCTCTATTCTGATTCACATTAATACTAGATTTAACAAAATCACAATAGAAGGAAATGTTATTGCTTAAAATGAAAAAAATGGTTACAATCAAAGACATTTGGAAGAGAAATTACTACTATACAAGACACAAACTTACACTAGGGCTTAATCCCGGGGTGGGGGAGGTCGGCTGAGTGGTCAGGGAGTGGTGGTAGGACGTTGAAATGAGCTGTGGGTAGATGGGACAGCAAGAGAGGCTAGAATTGTATTGGCGGTGAAGCGGAGGGCCTGGAATGGCAGCAGTAGAAGCCAAGGGGAGAGCTGGGACGTGAGGGGCAGCGAAAGGAAAGAGTTGTGAACTGCAGGAAAGCAAGAGTGCTGTCTCGGGGTTATCTGTGAGAGAGATGGATGTAATGAATGAAATAAGTGGCAAGGTGGCAAGATTACAGTTGAAATGACACCAAAGTGGCAAGGGCTACTGTAGCAAGTACGGAGGGCTGGGCTTCGGTCGAAACAACGAGGCGAGAGAGAGAATTCAAGCGGTGGCGAAGGTGGAGGGCTGAGACTAAGAGGGCGTCAAAGAGGAGGGTGGGGATGGCAGTGGCGGCGGCTAGAAAGATGGCAGAGGAGTTGGGTAAGGATAAATACCCTATCAAGAAGCAAGCTACAATTGAAGCACCACTCAATTCCTTAGAAGGAGATCACCACCTCGGATGAATTAAAGTTTTTGCTACGGTTCTAGAAGAGGAACCCCTAGATGCCGGCGACTGTCCTAACAAAAAAACACTATAAAAACTGACTTTCAAATTCTAATATAACACATTTACGAAATGACTATAAATGAATGAAATATAATAGAAATGAAAACATGAATGTTTTTACGGGACGTCTATCATCTCCCGTGATATTGAATCTAGCGCTACACTACCGCAAAAATTCTCTGTGTACTATGAAAATTCTATGTGGGAAAGTTCCTATGTCATACATCCTCCTCCACTGCATCCGGTTGCCCTCCATTGCTGCAACCTCCATTTAGATCCGCCACCGTTGTATTTTTGCAATTCAACTCCATTTCCGCTTTTCAAAATTCGCCCCCCTCGCAATTACAACCAATCCAACCGCCCTACAACTTTCTTATGCTACCTATCTGCTGTCCAGCCCTCCCCCTTGACATTTTCGATCAACCATAGATTTTCAACCGCCTTATCACCCTCCGCCACTACCTTGTTATTGCCCCACCCTTTCTTAGCGCTGTCTTGGTTATTCCAAACGCTCACACCCATTCCCTCTGAAGCGGAGGGCCTGGAATGGCAGCGAAAGCTAGGGAAAGGGCTGGGACAATGAGGGGCAGCGAAGGGGAAACGTTGTCTCGGGGTTGTGGCAGTGAGAGGGATGGCTGTAATTAATGAAATAGATGGTTAGGTGGCAGGCTGCAGTAGAAAACAGTAAGGATGCTGTCCTGGGCGGTTTTAGCAAGTACGGAGGGTGGGCATCGATCGAAATGTGAGGCGAGGGAGTGAATTGAAGGGGTGGCGAGGGTGAGGGTTGGGACTGTGAGGGCATTGAAGAGGAGGGTGGGAAGGCAATGGCGGCGGCTGGAGAGATTGCAAAGTTTGGTGAGGATAAATATCTTATTGAGAAACGAGCTACAGTCAAAGCACCACTGATTAATTACAGCCGGAGCAACTTTTCACCTTTTGATACGGATTTAGAAGGGGAAACCCTAGACACCAGCGGTTGTATTAACAGAACACTATAAAAACTTACTTTCAAATTATAATACAACGCATTTAGTAAATTACTAAAAATGAATGAAAGATAATAGAAAAGAAAACATAAGAAAGGAAAATATAACTATTTTTTGCGGCTTGTCTCTCGTGATATTGAATTCCGCGGCATTGTAGCTGCCACATCTTTCTCCTGTCGCTCCTGCTCGCGCTCCATTGTTGCAACTGCCATCGAGATCCGCTGTTGCTGTTTTTTTGTAATTCGCCTCTATTGCCAACTTCTAAAATTCACCTCAGCCACCCCTAAAACTCTTTGCTGCTACCTACCTACCTGCTGTCCAGCCCTCCCCATGCCATTTCCGGTCACCCGCAGATCTTCCAACCGCCCTTACCACCCTTACCACCCTCCGCCACTACCTAGCTACTGTCCCACACTTTCCCATCCCTCGTGCTGCCTTATTGCTGGTAGATCCGCCTGAACCACCTCCGTTGCAGCCTAGGTGCTTTTCCCGCCGTTGTTTTGCTGTTTTCAAGTTGTTTTCATCTTATTCCTGTTTGTTGCCGCCCAGGACAGCATATGACCACCGTTGTGTCGGTGTTCCTTTGCAGTCCACCCCATCCTTACATTGCTGCCACTTCTCCAAGCCCCCTAACGGTTTCCACTACCACCCAAGATCAACCCTAGCTATGTGTCATGTGTTGTGTTGTTGTTATTATTGTTCCCGTGTGTTGATTGTGACCGTCTATTGGCTTTTTCACTAATAATATTGGTTTGCTAATTGTTTGAGTTAACTCCGATATCCCTACCCCTAGTGAACTCGGGGAGAAGATTTAATTCAAGCAAAAATTTGGTAGGTTAATTTTGATTTGGCCTGTGGATGAGATTATTAGTCCATGGAATCCTAGTTAGGCTTGATAATTAACCATAATTTGATGCTTATCCCAATTTGCAAGATTACGCTTTTTATAAGACCCACTAGTTGTATAGTTGATTATTGATTACTTAATTTAGGACTGAAAAAAGCCACATTTTATCTAAAAATTCTCTCTACCTTTTTGTGCACGAATCTTACCACAACACAAGCAACTTGAGGTTACTATATTGCACTAACAATTCGAAAATCCTAAGAATTTCATTGTTCCCACAATCTTAGGATCCATATGAATTGTTTTATCTGTTCCCAGATTTTTCTTCCAAATATAATATTCCATTTTATACTCTTTTGATGTTAGTGGAGTGGGTCTCAAGTTCACATTGGTGCAATATTGGTGGGCATTTAGTCCCAATGAACTCTAAGCTTTTGGGTAAGTAGTAATAACTTTGATATGAATATTTAATTATTCTATAATCTAATTTATGACTAATCATGCCCAACAGCTCTTATTTCCAACCAACCAGTGCTTTTTCTTTCTGAGCCAATCAATATACTCGGAGAGCACGTTGATATAGTGAATAAAGTTTGGTCTATTACAAAAATTATTCTATTCGCAAAATTTCACACCCAAACCTTAAGGGGACCTCTATCTTAGATAAGGGAAGCTATGGAGAAACACCCAAATGTGAGTCTTAAGTTACAGCAATCTCCTAGCTTACTGCTAATGTTGTAGCTAAGGTTGTATAATCTTAAGACCAGTTCAATGTTTGACTTAAAATATGTAGTCGCTACTATAACTTGTTGATTTATTTAATTGGGGTTCACCTAGTTAAACCATGGATGGTGGAACTATGATAACACAGTTTATTATGCACTTCATAGCCATTTCCAATGCTTAAAGCTATAGTCTCATGAGACGTGAATAAAATGTCATTGCACGCCGTAAGTGTAGAGTGGTGCAATTTGCTTAATTCAGTGCTTTCCTAGTAAAGAGGTATGGTTAATTTTGAGTTTTTGTACCATAGGATGTCTTGAACCGCATTATTACATAAAATTTTAATATGAAAGGGTCGAAACTGATTTTTTGTATGTCAATCAATCTCTTGGGAAAATATCATAAGTTTCCTTAAAGGAACAAATGGGAGTCTTTTCTCAGAACTTGTGTAGAAATTCCTAAAATAACCTAAATCATCATAAATATGGCCTATTTTGCACCTTTCACTAGATCTAAGCATAGTGTAACACGAAGCACCACAAATTTAAGGAGCCTTGAGATCTATGTATTGATTTTGGAAAATTTCTACCATGAATATGCAACTGAAGCTTAATGTGACAGGTTTGTTTTCTATCAATTTATGCTGGAAGCTTGTTAATTTAGTATTCTAATGAATATTTAATACACAATCTGGCATAAATATGCAAATTATCCGGGGCACTAGCTGTTAGTCTTAAACTATTATTTAGCACTTTTGATGAAAATTGAAAAAAATTAGAAATTCAATTCTAATAAACTATTTTTGACCTTTAACAAGAAATGAATAAATAGAAATTAAAGATCACAACTATCATCTTTTCTTTAAAGAAATTTCTGCCTAGCTCTTGCTGGTTTGCTATTAAAGAATTTCTTACGAAAACAGCCCTTTAAGACTTTAATCCTTGCATTATCATGTTGGCGTGGTACAGTACAGACCATCAAAATTAACAAAAATGGTCAAAAATTGATAGTCTTTGTCTGACTTGATATTTTCTAAGTTCACCTCTTTGCACATAATTTTCTCTTTTTTATTATTTCTATTCCAATGAATATTTCTATTTATTATTATGAAACAAAAATTGATTTTGGATATCCTGACCGAATTTGGTCAAGTTGAGCCTTTAAGTTATTAGATTTGCTTCAAAATGAGTGCAATACAAGTTTTTATTGATTTTTTATGTATTGCAATCATCTCGAAGTGAATCCAATGATTTTGAGACCCATCTTATAAAAATTATTATTAGATATTCTAAACTAATTTTTTGCCATATTATTACATTCAGTTAGCTGGAGTTGTTGCTGTTGAGGTTACTGGAGGACCAACTATTAACTTTGTCCCAGGGAGAAGGGTAAAAAATGTTACAACAATTTATAATTACTGTTTGAAAAGCATTAGTGATTTATCTTAGAATTGGTTATTGGTCTTGTGCAGGATTCCTCCATTTGTCCAAATGAAGGACGTCTTCCCGATGCAAAGAAAGGTTCCAAATGACCATTTGGATTATAAATTCATGATTTTTTTTTACTTTAATTTTGGATATATTACATAATATTTCACATTTAGCCTTTTCATTCAATATGCAAATAAAGTTGCTTCAATTGATTCAATCATTTATATATAAAATAGATGGCTAGCCAGTAAATTAGGTTGAATTTAGGATATTGCCATGCATTGGAAGAAATAGGCTCTGAATTTTTTGAGTTACAAGTGATGTGTGTACAAATTTCTCTATGCCATTAAACTATAATGATATAGGCTATTCTATATGACAGTTAAAATCGTGGATGAACATTATCTGTTATTTACTTACATCTCCTGGAAATCAACTCAAAATGTTAAGATTCAAATTTCTCTGTGACCAGTCTGTCTGTTCCAATCATGACATGCCTGGTCTTGTTCATTTTCTGTTTATTTGCTGTTTTAAACTGATGAAATGCCCTATGAATTCTCCTTGCACATAATAAGGTAATTTTAATTGTGCTGGTCAGAATAGACAATTTGCTTTAGCATGGAACATATATAGAAGTACCTCTGAGCTCATCTATTTGCAATGAAAATGATGGTCCTTTTCTCTAAAAATTACAATTTTCCTGCCAAATATAACTGTAAATTAAGTTTCATTTTATTATAATGATCTAGTTCTTACGTAGTTGTGGACAGCACAATAAAATTATGAAAAATAAGGCTTTTTATGGTTACTTCTGTGACATGTCCTAAGAGGCATGGATAGGGATCTCATTTTTTAACCAAATGACAACTGATAATGCTGTTTTTATTTTCCTTTGTTTCAAAGCATTCAAATTATTTATGTTTTCATGGATTCAAATAAGTACATAAATCATTGTAGTTAGCTATTTGTTTTATCAAAATAAGGATGAGAAGTTGTTATTTTCGGCATTTTTATATGAATTATGTTACAACTGAGTGTGATTTTACGTTTATAGGCTGATAAACTCTATAGTTCCCAACCCACATGCAGAGTAAACCGGAATTATCCCTGTTCCATTTTCAAAATATTTTGAATGGTGGAGCCATCAGCGTAGAGGAAAGTAGAACATTATACAATGTAATTATGATAATTTGATTAGTCAGTACACGTTCCTATTTATGGCAAATTTTCCAACATCAATACATTTGGATAGAAACAGCATGATCAGCTGCTTCCCAACATGGGTCGGCATTAGTTATTTTCTTAACTTCAATCATAAATGTTATTTGCGCGTCTACCAATATTTATTTATAGAGCTTTCTTCCTCTCTCTACAATAACAATCAATACTTTTTATTGGATTCTAAACACTTAATGTTTTTTTGATTTTCTTTTTTAAACCTTAAGATTGCCCTTGTTCTTATCAAGGGCTGCTTTGCTATGCTTTTGTAATTTGTTTTATATGAAATGTCGTGGCAAAAGCCATGGATATTTGAATCTCTTTTTAGTCATTTGATAACTTCCATTCTGTTTTTGTTAATTTTTTACAAATTGACATTTGTGTAATGATAATTGGCTTCAGCTATTGCCTTTTTCTTCTTGTTTTTAGGTTCACAGCATCTGAGGGATGTATTCTACCGGATGGGGCTAACAGACAAGGATATTGTCGCTCTATCTGGCGGCCACACTCTGGTAACATTGCTGTTAAATGAACCATCGGAAAATTTTCGTTGTAGCAAACTTCCAACTTTGGTAAACATCTTTCTTGTTATTTTAGGGGAGGGCTCACCCCGAGAGGTCAGGATTTGAAGGTGCTTGGACAAATGAGCCCCTCAAGTTTGACAATTCTTATTTTGTGTAAGAAAACATGAAAAACTTGTTAAGCAATCAATAATATGACATTAAAGGTCCACATTAATAAATTTTTTCCTTTTTTTTTTTTTATCAGAGAACTGCTGAAAGGGGAATCAGCGGGGCTACTGAAGCTTCCCACTGACAAGGTCTTGGTTGAAGATCCAGCTTTCCGTCCTTACGTTGAGCTATATGCAAAGGTATTTTTTAAACATGCAGATTGTTTTGGGGGGTTCTGCACTCTATTTAACTCCGCATCGATGCTTCAGGCGATGTTTAAAAATTCAGTTTCGTATTCAGCCACGTTGAAATACTTATAGTTCTGTACTTCTTGTTTCGATTTATATTTTACTAAAAAAACCTTGAAATTATAGGAACTTAGATGCCAAATGTTTTTCTTTATAAAGTTTATATTAAAGCATAATCCTATGTAAGAAAATTTTCTTTATATTTTATCATATAGTAATGTATATCTCATTATCTTTCATTATTTTAAGAAATCTTGAATAACCCAGCAGACCAAATGTTTCTAGCGTTAGTGGGCAATATTAGATAACTTGCCATATAACATTTCATCATCTTACTACATAGCATATCTGCTGGTTGTTATCTTATTACATAGCATATCTACTGGTTGTTGTAAAACATTTACTAAAACTTTAACTTAGGGTCTGTTTAGGGCAGCTGCAGCTTATCTAGCTTCTGCTGATAAACAACTTTTTCTGATAATCTGTTTATGAGCAGCTGATCCGGATAAGCTGACTGACTGTTTGGTTTGTGCGTTTGGAAAACAACTGATTCTGAATACATGACTTTTCTGCCCTTCTTGTGGATAAGTTGTTTAGCTTGTGCATTTTGTAAAAGGCTTGTATCAAGAATTTTTTAGTTAAATAAACAATCTGTCACGCAGAATTTATAATTTTATTAACAAAATTAAAGTTCAAACGTTAAGACATGAAAATACAAAAGAGTTGTTACATTTATATAACTCAAATATTTCCGATCACATAAAAGAAACATAGTTACATATACAAAAGTAAAATACACCTTCACATATTAATATGGAGTATGAGGCCTGAATATATATATATATATATATATATATATATATATAATGTTGCCCAGTTCTGACATCCCAGAATCCCGAGCAAACCTGTTCGACTGAGATATCGTAGAAACGGAAGCACTTGAACCACAAGTGGTGTTGAACCACAAGTGGTGTTCTCAAGTTGTGACACCATCAAACTCTGAGCGACGGTGTCCATTTGTTGGCCCACCTGAAGAAATTGTAGTCTTTCGGTCCGTTTCCCCACCGCGGGCACCTGTAAAATTGTTGTCCGTAGCTCGCGGTGGCACGTCACTTGCCCAGACTTCCCTGAATACCTCGAGAAATATAGTAAATAAAGAAATCTACTTACCAAAGTTTGGATGCAACGGTTGCTAAGGAGAAAAGCTCCGTGGCCATCCAAGCTGCTCCATAGTTGCCAAATTAAATACACAAATCATTAATTTAAAAAAAGATCCATGTAAATGCTGCCTTTCATCTTTCCTGTGATTTCAATTGGAACAACTCAATCCATAAGAGTTGAGTGGTATGAAAACAAAATTATGCATGAATGATGAATAGATAGTTCCTGCTTCCAGATAACTATTAAGTTTCTTGCGTCCTTGAGCATCAATTAACAGATGTGAAACAGAAATGTGCTTTAAATATAACCATCATATATGAATTAATCTTTTCTTTTTTCTTTCCAACGAAATCATACTCTACGCTCCAGAACCACAAGTAGTGTGAAATGATAATATCAAGTCTCTTAAAAGATATCAGATCTCACAAGATCATTAACTAATAGCAAAGACGACCCATTCAAGATCCATATAAATCAAAGCAAACATTAAAAGGAAGAAGTCTTGCATGATAAGATTGCAGGCTTGCTATTTATCCATCACCAAAAATGATGTGGCTGGCCAATGTCATTTTCACTCCCATGCAGGATATAAAGATACCAACAAATGAAAATTTTCTATATATATATAGCCATCAACCATGAAATGAAAGCCAAAGCATCAAAATGAGCCTTAGCTTATTTATCAAGCCATTGAAACAAGTTGATTAATTGAGATGATCGAGCAATTAGTTTAGCCTTAAGACGAGCCCGAGCTAGATAGGGGGAGAGGAAGAGAAATAGGGGGAGAGAGATAGAAGTGGAGAGAAGGGGCCGGCCATCTCACCTAAATGGGAGTTGCTTACCCCAATACCCCATAGGTAAAAAATTGGACAACTCAGCAAACATCCAGCCACATGCAAATCCAAACTAAACAATGAGGACATCCAGCCACATGCAATTCTGTTTAGCCTTGCAAATTTTCATGCACTCTTACAAAGTGAAGATTGTAATCTAGCCAATGAATCGACTAAGTAAATACAACACAGAATACTTAATAGTAAATGTGGTTTTCAAGAAAATTGAAATTTGTTTTTAGTAAATGTGGTTTTCAAGAAAATTGAAATTTGTTTCAATTAAATGTGGTTTTCAAGACACCACTCAGAATGCCAAACCATTCAGATAATCCTTTTCAACAATAGTTTTAGAGAGATGAAATTTTTTTTCAAGCATGAGCCTAACAAGGATACCATCACCTCGGCCGTCAGATGATGCCATCAAATTTGTTTTTCATTTACACAATTAATTAGCTCTCTAAAAAAATAAAGAAGACCTGCTCACTTTATTTACGGTACTTATGTATTTAATGGTCAAAATGAACTATTACGCATCATCTGCTTCCCCAAACACATTTTCAACAGAGTACTGCTCAGATAACCAAACAACTCAAACAAAATGTAGAAGGCAGCGGCTGCCCTGAAAGAAGGGCCGTTCAAGCTAGGCACCATCCAGTTTCAGAATTCAGTTATGGATCATAATCAAAAACTCATTGAATATTGGATCATAATCAGAATCAGAAAGTCATTGAACAATGAATATTGGATCATAATCACCTAATAATTAACATTGAATATTTACTATTGCATAAAAAAGAAACTCAGGCTTGGATCATAACCAGAAACTCATAAAATTAACAGGGTCATTAAAATGTGTTTCCCAAATTGATTAAAATATTACAGCCATCAAGTTCTGAATAATACAATTAATTTGATCAAACAGTAGATGTCACAATTGTCTATATTAATTGGCTTATGTCATCTGCTTTTTGTTTTCTCAAAGCTACCATCTCCGAAGCACCTTCACCATCTAGGGTGTGTGCCTCTACTGAATCTATTTCGATTTGAGGTATAATACGTCCTGCCTCAGGTGGGATCTGCAGTAAATCTTCTTCAATGACAGCAAATTCTGCATCAGTTCCGGAGTGATGCCGTCGAATGAAGTTGTGTAATGTCATTGTGGCCACTACTATCTGGACCTATTTTGAAAATGGATAATTTGGAATATCACGTAAAATAACATATTACATCTTCCATACCCCGAATGATCTTTCGATGACACCGTGCAAGGACGAATGTCTTTTGTTAAATATTTGTTTTTTGTCTCGTGCAACTTTGCTTGATCTTTCAAAATCAGGGATATGGTATTTCGTATTTGGATATGACTTCAGATATCTCTTTTATAAAGGGTACCTAATACTTCCGTGTTTAGTTTTTTGTGATTAACAGATTTAGAACAATTCATATGCCCAAAAGTGAAATACGACTCTCATACCTGGTGGTGGATAAGGGAAACCATATCTTCTGTTTCTAGTGGCAAACTTGAAAACACGGCTGTCATGTGCGTTACCTTCCCATCCAGCCATTGCAAAGGTGAAACACATGTTAAAATCACACACTGTCATCATATTTTGTGTTGGGGATCCACAGCGTTCAATGTATGCTACTTTCTCTGTGTTAGACAGACGTGCATCGACATATGTTCCCGTCTATGGCTCCGATGCAGTCCTGTGGTGCACGAAATACTTAATAAGAAAATCACATGTGTAACTTTGTAGTATCTGAAATTTATATTAGGTAAGCACCTTGAAGAACGACATGTATCGAGGGTCATTTGCAACATGTGTGGGAATGGACTGGAACGTTGGATCCTCTGGCTTGACTATTTCACATGCCAGACTCGCTAGCTCATTCAACCCAACTGAGAAATATCTCTTGATGGTTTCTGATGAATGTTGAAACCGTTCTATTGCTCCTCTAAAAGATTCATTCTGGGATAAAATGTATAGGGCAATTGCCAACACTTCTCTAGCTGTCGTTCTTGATGAAACATACAATCCATGAAAGGTCCGAAGTTGGTTAAGCAGGTCCAAAAATATTACTTTGTCATACGGAACATGTTTGCGAAATGTGTCGGGTGACCATGTAATAACTCTCTGACTCATCTATCTCCAATATTACTCGACGTCATGCATGGGTTTTGATCAACATATGCATGGTAGTAATGGTATAGCAATGTAAGGTTGAGAGCAACAATGCGGTTGTGATTAACTTGTTCTTCATCCATTGAATAAAATATGAAAAATGATAGATTTTTAAACAAGCTAATAAATAACATGTGACAATGGCAACGATACATATACGACATATACATGATTGAAAAAATAAAATAAATAACACGATCAAAGATAACCAAATGTGCATCCATAAGAAATAAATAGAGAAGAGTATCACATAAATAGTGCAAAGATATGACAATAGCAATGAAGATACAGTAAATAACAGTCAATCGTTCATGAAAGAACGCAAGTGGACAAGTCAGAATTCTGGGTCCAAAGTCGCAAAGAACTGTCCGCGAGTTGAGTTCCCTAGCAACTTCACATACTTTACATACATAGCTTCGTCTGCCTTAATACCAGGATGTGTTAAGGATCTGTATACACTCCTGAATTGTATTGTCCTTCGCTGGTTTGGACTTTGTTTGGTTTGGACTTTGTTTTACAAGGACTTTGTTTTACAAGTTTCAAGCAATGTCTCAATAGTACCTCTAACAAATGTGAAACTTTTTTTCTTTTATTCAGGTTGGGGATGTTTTGTTCCACCAATGAATTGAACATCTGTGTAGATTTGGCTGGGACCTTCTCCTGAGTCACCTATATGTTTGGTCTCCTTAAGCTGGCAAAACCCTGCTCATTTGGGGTGAAAGCATGAGCTTTTGTTGCTACAACGCCAGTGAACGTAACATCAAACCTCTCCTCCAAAGCTGGTTCAATGCCAGTCAATTTGAATTTTTTTCGCTGCTAGCACTGCCTGTAGTAACAAGAAGAATGTATTCAATAGTCAAAATATTTCACTCTGAAAGTATGTGGAAATAGTCATGTAATTACCTCTAACTTTTCTGCCCACCATTCTTTAGGTGCATCAATTGTCCGCTTTAGTGGATCCCATCCCAATCCAGTTGATCCCCTTTTGAGCTTCTTCTAAATTTTCAAGTCCTTTAATTGATCCCACTTGTTTTTTAGTTTCATCCAATCGTAATCCCTTTTGGTTAACTCCTTGAATTTAGTTGTGAGATTCTGTCAACTTTATTAAAATAGGTGGTGGGTCTATTTCCCAACTCGACCTACCTTAAACAGAGATCACAAAATATATTAGTAGTCTCTCTATCTCACATGGTCGATGATCGGCCTCTTTAAGTTTACTCATTTTTTACTGTGATATAAACGGATGGTAAGATGACATGTATGTAAAAAAAATAAATATACCTTATATGTAAACGAAAGAGGGCATGTATGTTAAAGATAGAATGCTGTCAACCCTCCTACAAACCAAAAAGTTATGAATGTATATATGATCAAAAACAACAATGCAACAAAGAAGCTATTTCTAGTGAGGCCTACGAATCTCGACACATCAAAAACTGAGAAGTACCAAATCTGAATTAACCAAACATTTGGAGTACCTACCATATCAAAAACTGAGAAGTATCAATTTTTCCACTTCTCCAACGCATCAATAACATCAAACAACAAATAACTGATGTAAAAATACATTTTTCTCGGTAACTAGGGCACAACATCTTTCCAGCAAATGTAAAAATATGTAAATGACCAAATATTTCTGGCATTAAACTGAATCAAATGTAGGAGCATATGTAAAAATAAGGTTTCTGAAAATCCTCAAAGATCTCAAGCCACAAAACCCTAAAACAACTGCTCCTAGCTAACACGATGTTGAGGTTTATGGATCTAACAGTAACCATGAACCTCAAATATGTATCACACCAAAAAGCAATGAAACACAAAAATCATTCTCGTAGGAGATACTACAGATCGAGATAGGACGAGAGGGGAGAGGAGAAAAGAAGACAAGGAAAGAAAAAGAAGAAGAGGAAGGAGAGGAGGGAGCACAAAATTTTTTTACCAGAATACACCTCGGTAGCTAGGGCACGATAGATCGAGCGAAGAACCAGGGCAACCGGGAGTAGCGAGGGCAGCGAAGGAAAATAGTATACCCCAAACGCGATACGCACCTAGCCCCGCGTTCACTTTATAGCCTAAACAGTGAAAAAAATGCCGCCGCACTTCTGAACTCTGGGATCAAAACTTAAGAGCCGTGCAAAAGTTATTTTGTACCACATAACTCTTATATATTTAAATATCTAACATATAAACATTCATAACTCTTATACATTTAAATATCTAACATCTAAACATTCATAGTTACGTACATTCTGACTTCTCATATATACTAACTTTTTAAAAATGAAATGAACTTTTTCATCAATAGATTTTTAATACTATGGTGTTATAAATGGAAATCTCAAACTTTAGTTGTGAGATTCTTAAAATACATAGATTCTCTTATTCATGTAAGTCTATTTTGCTGTAGGATGAAGAAGCTTTCTTCAAGGATTATGCTGAATCACACAAGAAACTTTCGGAACTAGGCTTCACTCCACCATCAATTGCAAAGGGTACAAAAAGTGAAGTGAAGACGAGTACGGTATTGGCGCAGAGTGCAGTTGGAGTCGCTGTCGCCGCTGCAGTGGTCATCTTAAGCTATGTTTACGAGATCTCGAGGAAGAAATAAAGTCTGCATTCAGTGCTTAGTGTCAATATTCTGAATCACATGCAAGTAAATCTAAGATACAATTATGGGAGATTGTGTGGAATGTATTTTATCTATATAAATTATGCATAATAGAAGGGATAATTATATGGATATAATACCTTCAGTCTTTTAATTTATTTTTGTGATGTTTTCGTACATTCCACCTTAAATATTGTTATTTACAAATAAATTATTCGGGTTTTTCTTTTTTGAAATATTTAACCCAAATGTTTTGGCTTATAATGATTAAATCATCATAAAAATAAAAAGCGTGATGAATTTTGATATATGAGTTGAATTTGAAAATAGTCCGTAAGAGTGTCACGATTTGTTCTGGAGCTTGAAATTATTAGAGGCAGGTAATGATCGGACGGTGAAAAATAATTTTTTTCAAATTTATTTTTGGGAACTTATATTTTATAGTTGTATTATTTAGAGCTCTAAATAATATAATATCTCTAAATAATATAATATCAAGTGATGATTTATATTGAAGATTATAATATGAGAATAGCTCTAAATAATATAATTGAAGATTAATAATAAAATTTTTAATAAAATGACTGATTTAAAATCTGATAATTATGAAAGAGTAGGATGTGTCTGAATATATAGAGTAGCGGCTTCACTTATGTGATAGATCATAAAATGCTCCAGATTATTATATTTCGAGCAGTAGAGTCTTACTGCCTAGACTACATCTCATATGTCAATGAAAAGGAAAAAACATCACATATATATATATATATATGTGACAATAATGTGATGTATTTTCCTTTTCATTGACATATGAGATGTACTGAACTTTACTTTTATTAAATGAAGATTTTCAGTACATCTCATACGTCAATGAAAAAGAAAATACATCACATTATTGTCATATATATATATATAAGGAAAATACATCACATATATATATATATATATGTGACAATAATGTGATGTATTTTCCTTTTCATTGACATATGAGATGTACTGAAATTTACTTTTATTAAATGAAGATTTTATTTATTCTCGTTTTCATAATTTTGGTTCTCATTTATGAAAAATTGGAAAACTATAACTCACGAAGAATTTAGAGTTTTTATCAATATTCATAAGTCGTCAATAAAAGCAATGTAAAAATATTTCTTTATACTTCCTAATTTTTTTAAAATAAGTTTGTGCATAAAAATATTCATTTTAACTTAAAAGGTCAATTTTTAAATTAAATTACTCATTCTATCTAAAAAAGATATAATTTGTTTCATAAATTTGAATGAAAGACAAAATTAGCACTACGCACGCATACATTAGTAGATAATTATTTCTTGATTGGACATAAACGATTTAACTTCTATTTACTGAAATGCAGCATTATGGTGTCACGCTTTCACGACTTTTGACTGAGGAAGCATTCAATGTTGCTGATCTGGCTCACTAATTGTCTGCGATGAAGATTTCACATTGAAGTGATCATTATATTCTTTTATATTCAATAGATTCAAGGATAAAAAATCATTAGATCATTACAGCTCCATGAAATCGTTGCCATGTTTGGAGTCTATAGATTTTTATATGCGGAAAACTTTGCCATGTCAATTTGTCTGCTTCCAATGGACTTCAATCTGTTTGTCCGGAGCAATTAAATTCTTACTTATTTAAGTTGGCCAAAATTATCTTGTAGGTAATCCCTATTTCTTTGCATTTACCCGTATACATCCCTTTAAGCTGATGACATTATACGTTTTTTTCTGGTTTTAATTACTGTTTGTAAGTCAAGTGGGAGTACTGTTTTACTGTTCATGTAAATTATTAAAGTTACTGTTCATAGTCACATGATCATTACTGTTCACGTCATGGTTGTATTATAAATAAGCGGGCAATCCATCCACACACTCATCCACCCCCTCATTCTCTCATTCCCTGCTCTCCTCTCCACTCCTCTCCACTCCTCTCCTCTCCACCACTCCCTCATCCTTTCCAAGTAGTGTGTATGGCGGATGTGACCTTATGGTTCCTCTCCACCTCTCCACTCCTCTCAGCCATAAGGTCACTTCTTTTTGAATCATCCGTACACAAAACTATACGAGGTCACATCTTTTTAAATTATCTAATCATCCGTACACATCTTTTTGAATCATCTGTACACATCTTTTTGGTATCAGAGCCTAAACATTTAAAATTAATTTTAAATTTAACCTTAAAATTTAATTTAGAATTAATTTTAAATGCGCGGAAGCGTGGTGGGTTTAGGCATTATTACACTGTAAATAATTACTCTGAAAAATAATTTTAAATTTAAAATGGAATCTGAACAAAACATTGAATGGTTAAATTTAAAAATATCAAATAAAAATAAGAACATTCTTTCCTTAGATCATCATAAATTTATATGTAAGTTTTCTAAAGATTTTAGACATGAATTACATTCTGAAAATAAAATAATGAATAGTATAATAGATTTACAAATATCTTTAGCGGAATCTTTAAAAATACATCAACAAAAAGTTTATAGAATTCTAGAAAAATCTACAGATATCTTAGGTGATATAAAAAGATTAGTTTTAAAAAAAAACTTAGAATACATTAAAAGACAAAATGATGATATATTAAAAAAAAAATTGGACAGATCAGAAAAACTTAGAAGTATTAATTTCCAAAATAGAAACTTTATTAAAAGAATCCAAACAATCTAAAAATATTCTAGAAATAACCAATGAAAAAATTAAAAGAGTTGAAACTTTACTTTTAGAAATTAAAGGAATTATTCTAGCTTGAGTAAGTTTTAAGAATTTAAAATTTACAAAGATACTTTAGAAGAACCTAGAAAATATCATGATGAAGCACTAGGATTAACAAATTACTCAGGAATACAAGGTAGTGATAAAACCTATCCTAAAATATTAAATTTTCAGACAATAATATTAATAGAATTATATGAAAAAATAATGACTATTGAAGATAAGTTAAAAATTATAGAAACAAATATTATTTCTAAAGGAAAAGAGATTGTTCCATACAGACCAATAAGTTATAAATCATGGTAGGTGGTGAAAAATCTATATCCATATTTAGGAAAAAATCACCTAAATTTGATAGAAAAATATCTGAAATAGTAGATATTGAATCACAATTAGATAAGTTTAATAACAAAAAGATAGATCTAGTTAAAATTAAAAATAAAATATATGAAAATTCTTTATTATCCAAGTCATCTATAATACAAACAATAGCTGAACAGAAAGTTAGTTGTGTATCAAACTTAGATCAATTAAGTTTACCAATAATAGTAAAAGATAATTGGGAGCAAATTAGGCAACAAAGAATGACACAATTACATATAGACTTAATCATGATTGGAGTTAAAGGATTACATAGAAAAAATTTAGGAACAAAGGCTTTGGTAGTACTACTGGATAATAGATGGAGTGATTTAACAAAATCTATAAATGGATCATTTGAGATAGATATGAATGATAATGAAGCTATCATATACTTTGTACCAAATTTCATTATGGATACTAGAGAATGTATACAATATTTGAAGATAGGAATCAAGACTAAGGGTTATTATATGATTGCTGGATCTCTAAACCTTAGAATAACTACATGATTCATAGGAAAAATGCAAGAACATTTTAATGTCAAATTTAAGTTAAATAATGAAGAAATATAATTAATGTTAGCCAGTCAGGGAATTAAGGCAATAACAGGAAAGAAATTTAGTTCAGAAATATACGCAGGTACTGAATGGAGTATTAATACATTTGTAGATAAGCCCATATTAGTACCAAATGAAAGTACTTCTTATGAAAATCAAGATGAAACATTTAGCATGAGATTTTTAGATTATCAACATAGACAAATTAGAAATGAATCAAAAGATGATTTTGAATCCATACAATCTGAATTAGAGATAAAAAATCAAATTAATTATGGAAGAAATTAATTTTAGTATGATAAAGACATATGAGCAATTGCAAGATTATGTATTTAGTATGAATGCATCTTATTCAGAATAACAAGAGAGGTATAATTTTGAAATAGCATATGAAAATAACTTTAATCCAAGTTTTGATTGGAAGAAAATAGATTCAAAATATGAAAAAGAGGAAATTAAAATGAACATGGAAATGGGTGAAGTAATAGCAGGACCATCTAATCCTACTATAGATAGAGGTAAAAGGCCTAGATTTGATCCAGTTCCACCATCAGGAGAAGATAATGGACCAGGAAGGCCATATAGGCAAGGTACATCTAGAAGATATTATAAAGAAGATAATAGTTATAATTATAAAGGAAATATGGAGCCTATAGAAAAAATAAATTTAATTCTTGCCCATAGAAATGGAACTATTTTGACTATAAATCTTAATAATCCATGTGTAGTGAGTAGTTTTCCTTACTCTTCCCTCTTACAATGAATTAGTATGCAAGTGTAGGATATAGAATTGATTAGAGTGATAATATATTGTGATGATTTTACTTTGTTCTTTGTTTACATGTAAACTTGATCAACCTGCATGTTAAAATCTGTTGTGAGAACATGTAAGATCCATGATGGTATTGTCTCAATCAACTAATGGTAGAATCACATGAGATTGTATGGATGAGAATGTAGTCCATATGATTGAGTGCAAATAAATAGAGAGATATACTTTGATGGTTGTAGAATTAGAGGAATTTAGAGTGACAGGCTAAATCCCACAATTTGGTTCTTGATTTTAGGTCTTAATACTAGATGTTAGCCTTCACGTGAGGGGACGAGGGGACTCTAATGTGAGAGCTAGTATCTCTCCTTCCTAACCAGCCTTTAGGATTCTAAAACTATGAATTAGGAAATGTTCTTTATATTACTTGACCGAGGGATAAAGAATATAATTGCTCCTATTTGTCATAATCTCTCTCATTACTTGTTTTACTTTTATACATGTAACTAATTTCTTTGCAACTTTTAATATATTAAACCCCACTTTCTGATCCCCACTTTCTGATTTTCACTATTTTCACTAAGTATTTAGTTTAAGAGTAGAAGTAGTATTGTAGTGATAGTTGTATGATATAATCAAAACCAAACCTCTATCAACCTTCCAAACTAGGGCATGTTTTTCTAGACTAGAACTTCTCTTGAAAG